CTCCCCCAGACATGCCTGGCAATGGAGGAGACATTTCTGGTCATTGTGATTTGGCACCTAGTAGGGAGAGGACAGGGAAGCTTCTGATCATTCTCCTTGCCCAGGTCGCCGCTCCACACATATCCGCTTGTGATGTCAGCAATGACGCGGCCGCAGGCTCCTGCTCCAGCGGCTTGGCTGTCTCCAGCTCCTCCTCTAAACCGGCTCCTTCTTGGTGTGCATGACATTTGTCCGGCTGACCTTACCAGTGCCCCATACTTGGTCTCCAGGACCAGGCTTCTGGGTCCTCCTCTCGCTGGGACAACTCCTCAGGTGCTGACGGTGACAAGGCACCTGGCATTCTCTCTGTGGCTCTCCCTCCCATGCTGGAGGCCAGCCTCGGAGGCCAGAGGTGTTCCCAGAATTTAATTCAGCTGTCCGGGACCTGCCTCCTTCATCTGGACCCTGCGGCCAGGCCCTCCTGGATCTCCTGCCTTTCAGTGGTGACACCCAGACGCATCCAGGAAGGTGCTTGAGTACGCCTGACACCATACTTTGGCTTCCAGAAGGGAACCCGAAACCCTACGCAGCCTTTCTCCACCCAACCACTGCTCTGCACACATCGCAGCTGGCAGGGTGCACACACAGACAGCACAGCCCCGTCTCTGCTTCATCGGCCATGTCCTGAGCACTTCCGGTATACGGCCAACAGACAAGGGCATCAGACCTCGCATAGCTGGGAAATGCAAAGCACGAATGAGCACCCATTCCACAGATCATTTTTTAATTTTAAAACACAAAGACTTGCTGGGCGTAATCCCAGCACTTGGGAGGCTGAGGCAGGAGGATCACTGTGAGTTCGAGACCAACCTGAGCTACATACTGAGCTCCAGGTCAGTCTCAACTACATAGTGAGACCCTGTCTTAAAACAACAACAACAACAAAAAAAAACCACAAAGACTTTTTTGGAATAGGATGAAACGATTCCTGACATGGGAGAAAGTTTAGTTTGGAGGTTTCTGGAAGATAATTTAGCAAAATGTACTCAAAGCCCTCAAAATGACTATCAAAAATTCCACTGCTAGGAGTTAAACCCAAATGAACACAGAAGAGGTACACCCAGAGGCCTGAGCACAAGAACATTATCACATTTCCATAGGCTTGAACCACCGGTGCTACATGCACGACTGCCCCACTGGGTGGCCTGAACCACTGGCGGTGCAACTGGATCTGATCACTTTTATCAGCGTTACTAAAAAAATTAATAAAAAGCTGCTCAATGGGACAGTCATGCATGTACGACTGGTGGCACAAGGTGACTGACAGGAAGACATACAAATTATGGCTGGTTGTGGACGTGTTAACTCAGCAGTGTGTGACAGCATGACTTATAATAAAGTACAAGTAGACAATGTTCATCGGTTTATGATCCACCTGGTGCTGTCACAGTTCCTGCACATGTATAACTCATTTAACCTCCATGACAACTGTGTGGGGTAAGAACACTTGTTACCATTCTACATGTGGGGAAACCGAGGCACAGAAAGGCAATCTGCTTAAGGTCACAGAGCACACAAGAAACGCAGCCAGGATTTGAACCCGGTGAACACACAGGCTTAATCACCATGCTATTCAGCTTCTGTCTTTCATGACAGAAAAATGTGTTTAAAGGTTTGCTGCTTTATGTTAAAAAAAAAAAAAATGTTAAAGAAACAAGGTTAACATCTGCCTTAGTTTCCATCAAAGCAACCGAGGAACCACTAAGAGCCACACAGTGGTGAACTGCGGCCCTCACAATCCTTGGAGAAAGTGAGCAAAAAGGAGCAGGGTGGGAAACTCCACACAACTGCTGTACCGGAAGAGACAGATCCAAGAGACAGCGCACTCGGGAACCACTGACCTGTGGTCTTCTCGGTGAACACAACTTTGGACTCGGCCGTGAAGTTTTGCCCCGTGAGGATCATCTGCTGGCCCCCATAGACCAGGCAGCTGTCGAAGTCCTGCCTTTCCACCATGGGCAGCTCGTGGGCGGAACGCTGGGCTGTGGGCAAGAGGACAAGAGGTCACTGTGACAGGGAGACATCTGCTCGCGAAGGGCAGTCCCGTTTCATAGCAGCCATGAGATGCAACATGCTTTGTCACCTGCCGTCCCCACAGATGTGGAACCACCACCCGTGACAACCAGGGACTCCAAATATTATGTTTTTGTAAGTGTTGGAGTGGTTTGAGCTACTTTCCTTCTAACTACACACTTTGTTTTCATGAATCCAGGGACACACACCCATTCTCACAGAGGGGAAAGGGAGTGAGAGTTTGACCTTGCCATCGGGGGCTCTTTTGTAAAGTTCCCCTCTCCTGCTGCATCTTCAGCCCCAGCACAAGAGCATCCTGCGTGCTGACCTTAGGACCGCAGCCCTGAAAGCCTTAGATGCAATCACCCTGGGGCCCACGTGTGCTTCTTAACATGGACTGCAGGACAGCCGGGGTCTGGCCCCAGGGGCAGGCAGCTCTACAACTCTCCCCGATCACACTGCTCCTGCCACACTTCCAGAATATCTTCAATGTCTCTCACCTATGCTTAGCACATGCCCCACTCTGAGCAACTGCACTTTGCTCAGAGAAATGTTCGCTTCAGATATACTATGGGGAGCTTTGCTTGCTTCCTCTTCTGGTATCTCTCCTCTCACTAAAATGTGCCCCAGGAGGGAGGAGCTTTGCCTTCATTCTGCTCTGAAGGCAGAGCCAATGCCAGGGCCACACTTAGCAGGAGGAGCATGAGATGGGTGGGTGGGTGGATGGATGGACGGACAGATGGATGAGTGCCCAGATGGATGGATACAGATGTGGACCGGGGACTTTCAAGTCTACTTATTTATATCCACCATGAGTGAAAGGTGGAGGAGCAGGAACCAGAATAACACGGATGCTCACAGCCACCCTCTCAGGAAGGAAATGTTAACATTATTCACATCTGACCGGGGAGAAACCCAAACCCAAGAGAAGTCAAGTCATCTACAGCTTGGCCGAGTGGTACAGGGCAAGGCTCAGCCCTGGGGCCTTACAAGCAGGCTTGCCAGCCCCAGAGCCATCTCACAGCTCCCTCCCGCCAGCCACTGGACCCCCGGGAAGGCAGGCTGCCTCTCCCTGGCAGGTGACAAACAGGCCCCAGCCACAGCCCAGGTCACAATCCTGCCTCCATCTCCACAGGCCCCGCCCTCTCAGCGTGGGCCCAACGGCCCGCCCTCCCTCTGAGTCATCCCCAGGTCCTGGCTTCCCTCCTGGAGCTCAGAGAGCCCGGCACAGGGCCAGCCCCTTCCATGCCAGGGCCCTGTGGACTTCCCCATCCGGGAGCAGCAGCCGCTGGAGACCCTTGGCCCAAACTTAACCCTTCCCTCTGGGCATCGAGCATCCCCTTCCCTCTGCCCTTGGGCTGCCGGGCCAGAGGTGGAGCAGGTCTGCAGCAGGCAGTATTTCTAGAGTGAGTCCTCCACCGGCCAGAGGCATCCTGACACTCCAGACACTCCAGCTCTGTTCCCACAGCCCAGCTGCTGGCTGGAGGGCTTCTTGTCTTAAGAGGCTGTAGGCAGAAGCTGCTAATTTCTCCCACATGGGCTGGGTTATTAATCCTCTCTTTCAATATTGGAGTTTTGTGATGACTGCCTAATTGAGCTGCCACAAACGGAGATTTACTAGCAGTGAAAACAGCAGCGCCAGGGCCTGGCTTTCAAGATCTGCCTTTGATGGAGCTGGGGGGGTGAGGGGGGGGCTTCTGGGCTTCTGGTGCTGAGGGTGGGTAGGGAGGTGGCGAGAGCGGCCCCTCCCATTTCACAGGTGGAAAACTTGAGTCATTGCTCCTGGGCAAGCCAGCCAAGGGCCTGCAGCCAGCCCAGCCGGACTGGCCGGGGCCGAGAGCTTGGCGCTCAGTGGGAGAGGGGGCCGGTGAATCACTGTGCACTGCTCCGAATGCAACTCATCCATTTCCCGAAGCAACCTCACAGCTTCTACCTGCAAAGCCTCACAGTCTCAAGCAGTGGCCAGTGCTGCATTTCCTGCCTCCTCCTTTGCAGGGAAGCATTTTTTTCAAAGAAGATTTAAAGAGAGAATGAGAGTCCAGGACAGCTTCTGCCAAGCTCATCTCATCCCAAAGCTCAAAGCACTGCCCGAGGCAGCAGAGGAAGTGCAGGGCCGAGGCCTTCCCAGCCTTCTATCTGCAGCCGAACAGGGACCCAGGAGCAGCCGTGCTCAGCTCGGGCTGCACACAGCACCAGCTGAGGACGTGAACAGCTGCTGGGACAGCAATGTAGGTACCAACCCCACCGGTCACTCTTTGTTGCGGGGACCACGCCGTGCACTGGCACTAGATGCCACTGGCACTCCCGCCCCTGCTGCGACAAACAAAACTGTCTGCAAAAACAGCTAGAGGTCCCCTAGCGAGGAAAGATACAAAACTGTCCCTACTTGCCAGCAACAGCTGAAGAGATTCTGACTTAAATGGTCTGAGGCTAGGACCCCAGTGTGTCTCCGGGAACACAGCCAGTTTGGTACCATTCGTGGCAGTGCCGCTGCTAGGAGGGGCAGCGCAGGGCACTGGGAGTAGCAGCAGGATATAGACAGGGAGTCATGAAAGCCACGGTCTGAATCCTGTATCTGCCACTGCCCTAGTGTGTGACCCTGGGCAAATCACATCACCTCTCTGAGCCTCAGCATCTCCTCTGTCAAATCCTAACAGGCCCCGATCTTAGGGGTCGGGTCGGCTTCACGCAGTGCCAGAGATCTCACACGCAAATATGTGGACCGGGTCAGAACACGGCTGGTGAAACATCTAAGGCCAACTGAGACGTCCAGGGATGGATACGCAGACCAAGGTGGTACTCGTACAGAGTACTTTCAATCACAAAAAGGAACAAAGTGCTTGTACTTTGAAAACATCCTGCTAAGTGGAAGGAATCATTCATCAGAGGGCAAATATTTAGGATCCCATTTGTATGATACATCCAGTCCAACAGGCAAATGTGTAAAGTAGATGGGACAGGTACTGGGAAGCAGGGAGAGGGGAATAAGGAGGGACTGATAATCGATACAAGATTTCTTTTCATGGTGCTGGAAAAGTCCCAGAATTAGCTAGAGTTGGTAGTTGCGTAATACTATGAATGTGCGGTTAAATTGGTAAGTTCCGGGTTGTGTGTATTTGGACCCTACGAAAGTATGTGACATAAGATAAAATCAGCCTATGCCTAGAGCTCTCTAAGCACTCAAGAAACTGTAATCTATATCGTCATTAACCATCTGGCACAGGAAGTCCGGCCGGCAAGGTTAGTGACACCCAGCGCCAGAGCATCCGGAGAGTTAGCCTTGTCACCAAGCCTGGGCGGCCGCTCCCACACACTGACCCAGGCTACCACTGCGGCTGCTGTGGTTCTTGATGGATCCTCATCTTATCACCCAGGTTTGACCCTGACTGCTGGACTTTCTCAGAGTGTAGCTCCCCAGCCATCTGCAGCAGAGTCCCTAGCTGGGGCAGGTGTTTTAATGAAGCCGAAGCCACAAACACAGATGCCTCCCCAACACACCACACACACCACACACACACACACACACACACACACACACAGTCCTGAGCTGCTTAGGCAGGGACCAGACACTTGCATTTTGACTATCTTTCCAGGTGACTCATTACACTCACTTATTTAAGAGCTGAATTCCACTAGTCAGAGGCCACCTGAGGATGGGGGACTGCTCCCCTGCAGGCCCCAGCCCTCAGAGAGCCCAGAGCAAAGAATCCCATTACCTCTGAAAGAGGAACTGGGGAGAGGCAAAGAGCAACCAAAACAGCCTGTGGGGGCCCTGTGTCTGGCTAAGGCAACTTCTACCACCCAGGGCCTGAGGGAGGGCTCTCAGGAGGCCTCCGCAGCCCTCTACCCTGTCAGCCCCAGTGACTTCACTCAGCTCCCCGTTCCCTGGAGAGTCCAGGCCAGCCAGACCCCCAGCCCACAGTTTTCTAACCAGAGCTGGCCTAAGCTTAAGCAATCCTTGAGGCCCTGGACTGGGTGAGGGGATCCCTGCCCCTGCGTAAGCTTCACGGTGGCCCTAACAAAGTGACTTCCCCAGCCCCACGGCTGCTCTGGCTCCCGGCACGTCACAAAGTGGCTCCTGGCTTTCGGATTTTATGAGCTCTGAACTCCTAGGTGCCGTGGGTTAAACCCGCCTATGTCCCCTCTTGTGCACACAGCGGACTGCTGCTCAGCTCCACCAGGGAGAGGCCCTGGCTTGGCCCGCAGCCCCACCTGCGTCTGGAAATGGGGTGCTGTCTGCCGTCTGCCCCGTCACAGGGCTGGGCCGCTGGAGACATGTGGGAGAGGCTGGCTGGGGAATGTGCTTTCTGCAGAGGGGCCAGTTCTGTCAACACCAGAAAGCACCTCATGTCCCTGGCTCGTGATGAACACATTTTGTTTATATGACAAAGCACACACGGCATGAGGCAACGCAGGGATGCGGGCCAATGGAAGGGTGCTGCCGTGTGACTGCCCAGGTTCAAAGCCCAGCCCGGTGACATCCTAGCGTCGGCAATCTGGACAAGTTCCGTCAGCTCTCTGCGCCTGTTTTCTCACCTATAAAATGGAAATAATCACAGCCCCAAAATCACAGGGCTGTTTCCAGATTAACAGGGATACACAGAGAGCGAGTGTCACTTCGTGGGGGCTCTAGGAGTGGTAGTTTTGTTTATTTTATTGCTACACTCCAAGAGACCACAAGGTGAGGAGTTCCATTCTGGAGTCGAGGACCCGAGCCTTCCTGAGGAGGAGAAGCTGTGTGAGAGCTCAGAGCTCAAAGCTGACACACGGGCGGGGCGGGGCCCAGACTGTGGGATCCACCACTCTGAACGACACCTGGCACAGGCACCTGTGGGAAAGCTGCCGCCCCATGCAGCCCGAGAGGTCCCCCCTTCCCAGTCAGCAACTGCCCACGCACTGCCCGGCCTGGCCACCGCTCTCCCACCGCTGTGAGCCCTCCGTGTCTCTGTACCAGGTCCCTGTGCCTGGCTGCCAGCCTGGCCCAGCCCCAGGGGGAGCACAGCAGACAGGCCCTCGGCCTCCTCACTGGCCGTTCCTGGCCAGCCTGGGGCAGTGGTGGGACAGAGGGACTCTCTTCTCCCGGAGAGTGGCTCACCGCCTCTGACGAGCTGTCCACACACCCAACACAAGGGTGTGACCTGCTGGGTGAGGACCAGCTCAGCCTCCTCCTACAGAACAGGAGCTGTGGCCCTAACCCTCCACACTGGGGAACCTTAGCTCAGCCCACGTGGGCGGCACCAGGGACGGGACAGGAGATCTTGCTCTCTCCTTAAGCAGATCAGTACTCCGCCAGGCCAGTGGAGGTCAAGAACATCCCCAGGTCCCTCCCTACACATAATAAAACTCTCCTGAGGGCTGTACAAAACCCTGGTTGACTGCCTGGCTCCCTGGTCCCCGCGGGACCCAGGGGGCCAGGGAAAGGAGAGAAGGCGGCCGCACTGCCCGGCTCCGTCCTCCCTGCGAGCCTTACCCGGCTAGCAGAGACGCTTCTGAGGGCAGTGCTCTGTGCCCCGGTCCCTGGCACATGTCAGAGCCAGGCAAAGGATTCTTGGTCATTCTTTCTGCGTGAGGACAGTGAAGAAGCCTTCTGCATGGGTCTGAGTGAGGCCAGGAATGGGAAGGAGGCTGAGGGGCTGCCGCAGGTGTTCGATGCCGGGGAATCTGGCCTTCCCGCCTGGCATCCCTGGCTTGGTGGAGGGCCAGCCAGGGAACACTGTCAGCCAGCCCGCCGCCGCCCCCCAGCTTTCCTGCAGGCAGGCAGGCTCTCCCCTGCCACACTCCTCGGCCTCCCACTCCGCACCCGAGGACCCCTCCTCCACTCTCAGGGGTGCAACTTGCTGCCTGTTCACCTGCAGCCACCAGTGTTGTCAAACTCCCACAACCACCCAACCATAGAAAATGAAGTCCCCTTCGCAGAGCTACGAGGAGGGCCACGAGCACGAAAATGAGATCAGTCCACACGGGGCCACCTACCAGAGGCATGTGGGTCACCTACTGTGATCGCAGCCAGCACTGACCGCTGGTCACTCACACACTTCATCCCCACCCCAGTGGGGAGGTACGGTTGTTACCCCCATTCCACAGATGAGGAAACAGTACAGAGTGTTAACTTCGCCAGGACCAAGTGGCAGAGGCAGGATTTGAACCCAGGTCATTGGCTCCACAGCCCAAACCCTAACTGCTCCTCCCCATAATGAGATGCGGTTGCTCCTGGTGTTTTATGAAATGTGGCTCCTTAATCACTGCTCACAAATCTCCTTGCAGAGCAGAGACTGACAAAGGCTCAGCCAGTGTGACCTCTGCCCATGGCCCAAATTTCACCCAGGACTTCCTGCTATAGTTTTGGAGGAAGACCATGAGCTGCTGTCTGATTTACAACCAGATGACACAACCCCTCCCTTTCCAGCCCAGATTAATCTGTCACTTGTGATGTAGCTCATCCTGCAGGCCTGGGATTCAGAAGGATGTGGCCAGCACACCCGGCTTGGTTGTGTGACCGGTCTGTGCCTCCATTTTTCCCGTCTGTAAAACGGGAACAGACACCAACTACACGGTGTTCTTTGATGAGTCAGCAACAACACAGGAAGTGCCTGGCACAATTAGGTGGCGGCTCAACCCCCACGCTGTCCTTCACCTGCCCCTGTCCTGTCCCTCTCATCTCCTTTCTTCTTCCATTTGGCCTTCGAGGGTTTATCAGCATTTACCGTGTACAAGGCATTGTGCTAAATCGCCTTTAAACTAGAAATTATTTTACGCCAGTACCCTATGGAGAACCAGAGGCTTCTTATTGCACTTAGAATTAAATCCAAAGTCCCCAGCTTGGTCTGAGACCTCACATGCTACCCATCTCCCACCTCCTTTCACTCCACAGTCTTCACGGCTGCTTCTCTTCCCAAGCTCGGCCCTGCCTCAGGAGCTTTGCACTTGCTGTTGCCTCTACACAGACCACACTCCCGGCTGGCTAATGCGCTGTCTCTTTCAAAGATCCTCCTCCAGCTCGTGTCGATTCCCCACCCACGGGCCACCAACCCATGGTCCCTGCCGCTCTGTGGTGACATTTTGCTCTGTCGCAAACGCTCCCTTTGGTCATTATTGTCTGTTTTTCCCCACAAGAATGTGACTTTGAGAGGGCAGGGACATTATTCTGTCTGCAGTTGACCTCCAGTGCCCCACGCAGACGCAGCAGTGGCAGGAGATGTAAGGGTAGGAGTCGGGGAAGCAAGCAGCTCCTGGTTTCCCAAAAAGATGGAGCAAAGGACCACACGTCCACCCCAGCACGGTGCAGCCTGGCTCTGCCTGACACCCTACGCTGAGCCCATCGGCGAGGGATCACATCCCTGAACACCAGCGCTCCTAGGGGGAAACACAGGAGAGTATCTGGGCTGCATTCAGAGTGCACTGGGCCCAAGACAGTGACAGGGGCCAGTTCGGCCTCACCAAAATAGTGATGCTCACAAAAATACATCATTTAGAAAGTAAGTTGCACAAGGGGGAAAATACTCATAATGCCTCTATCCGGCAAAGGATTCACAGCTAGAAGATAGTTAAAAACTGCTATAGATCAACAAAAAAAATATCAGTGACCTAACAAAACATTTTAAATGAGCAAAAGATTTAAATACCCTGCACCAAGATGATACACAAATGGGCAGCGAGCTCATAAGTAGAAGCTCAGCATCACTCAGATC